TCAAAAAGGGATCGATAATGCCTGGTGCCTTATTTGCTGATACTTGTATTGCTTTATTTACTTTTCATTTATATATGTTTCATACTGGGTTTTAGGACAAAGTTTTTGGAGAGTTAAACAACTTTCTTAATCTTTTTATCATTTTATCGTATTCTCACGATTTAGTCACTTTCGATGTAGATCGTGAATTTTTAGCTGCTAGTCTTTTTCAGGTCAGTCCGGCAATTGGGAGGGGAAGTTAACAAGCTAATTTCTATTCTCTGATTTTCTTTTCAAAATTCAAGCCCCGGCCGTTGAAAGTTGTAAAGAGCTGTACAACACAAATGGGTAAGTTATTTCCATCCATCAGGACCACGTTTTACAATAAATTGCTAACTGGAGAATCTATTTTGGTAGAATCCCAAGTTGCCATAAGCGCGATTTTCCATCCATCCTTTTTTTAAAAATTAATTATATTCATTTTATGTCATTTTCCACATTTTTCAGATCTTACGCCAACAAAGCTTACCATTTGAGGCTGGGGAAAAAGATCTTTCCAGTTTACTGTCACATGACAGCTCTTGATGGATGTGGGGGTGGTGGCTGGACTCTGGTAATGAAGATGGATGGTTCCAAGGTAAACATAAAATGATGCTGACAAAAATGCCCAAATAGGTAGTTTTGTCTCTTCTTTTAATCAATAAAATTTTGTACGAAAAAAATTGTTTACATGTGTTCATTCGTATTCGACCAAATCGGAATCCATCCTGATTAACAAGTAAGTGCACAGGATTATTAAATCATTCGAGATTAAGTGTTCTATTCCCGTTAAGCATAAACAAAAACTTTTACAGTAGTCTCGAGATAATTCGAAACTCCATGGGAAATTAGAGAGGCTCAAGTAATGGAAAGCCGGGTGCATAATAATTCGAATTAAAGGGAAAACGTGTTCACACCGTTTCCTACTCTGTACATTTTCCTGGAATAGCAATAGAGAATCTCACCGAGACATCGATCAATTAAAGAGAATTTTGAGAATTGAATTTTTTCAACAGGACACCTTTCATTATAATAAGTTAATTTGGAGCAACAAGCTGGCTTACAACCCCTATAAAGGCACAACTGGATTTGACGGCGAAGAGACCATGTTACCATCTTACTGGGAAACAAAGTTCTCCAGGATCTGTCTGGGTATGAAGAACGGCAGAGAAACCAACTTCATCGCCGTCAATGTGACAGCATCCTCCCTATACTCTCTAATCGCTGATGGGCAATACCGCCCAACCTTACTGGGCCGAGACAAATGGAAGTCACTGCTTCGTTCGAACGCCTCACTGCAATATAACTGTAACCGAGAAGGATTTAACGTATTGAGTGGGTGGTCTGGTGCCTTTCAACCCAGGGCTCGAATTGGTATTCTTGGTAACGAACAAAATGATTGTCACACCTGCGATTCCAGGATCGGTTTTGGTACTGGAGGCCATCCTGATTTCTCGAACTCATGTGGAAACGTAGCAATGCACAAATGGGGAGCAGATAATGGGGAAAAAAACATCAAGACTTTGGGCTACATTCTTGTTCAATAATGTAGTAGTTATAGCTCTTATTTTGTTCCAAAACAATTGCTCAGATATTAGTTCTCGGACAATATCGTTCCCGATATGCGTACAGTTATTTCAAGCGCAAAGCTGCCTTTAAAGTTTTAGACTAATCAGGAACATGAACGAAGTTCTTTAGCTGCTTGAAAATACCGCTGGCCAGCATGCGTGTTGATCGTTTTGCAAGTTGTGAGAACATCGTCTCAAGGTTCCGCACCCCGTCAATTTCCCCCCCTTTCCCCTTCCCCACCCGAACGGGCTCTAACCCCCCTTGAATAACCTCTTCGACAGGCAGTGTTAGGTGTTTTTAATAAAATGAAGGCTAAAAATTAACTAAATCGATCTCCGCTTTAAGGCTTGGCTAAATCTGTGTATTAGCGATAGATACTGATTCATTTCTATTGGAACTAATTAGATTCTTAGTAATTAGAACTAAGTAATTCCAAGCTCTATTTCCTAGTTTGGTATTTGGTTAGTTTGTTTGTAAGAGATATATAAAGCTGAGAGATTGCTAAAATGCTTAGGCTTATGTTATGATAAGTATAAAATAAATGACAAGGATGGTACCAGCAGGATCTGAGTGTTGTCTTTGTGTATCACTAGCTTAAGTAAACAAACTACAAGGGAACTCATTTNAGATGAGGGAAATGAGAAAAAAAAAATAAAAAATTTAACGTTAGAAATGATGAAAAAAACAACAAAAACGCTCAAAGTTCAAGTCCGGTCGCGACCCTAACCCAAACCTCTCGGTTTTTCTCGAGCCTTTAGGAGAGTCGCATGACGTCAACGGGTTTAACCCTATGGTCTTCGCTGTCAGTCAGATTTTCCTTGTGCTTGGTGAAGCTGGTGAAAAGAGCAAAGCGTGATGAATACTTAAATGTTGTTCCTTAACTGAGTGTGGAGAGTGTCAAGTTATTTAGCCAAAGATTAGCAAGATTTCAGCTGACTCAGAGATATAAATTATGGCAAATATCAGACAGTGAAATTCTTGTCCGTATTCGTATACAACAACTGCACAAGCAATGAGGCGAACTCACCCAAAATACAAAGGGTATAAATTTGTAAACTCGTAGATAGCAACACGGAATGGCTAAATAAGATATTCGATCGATGAGGGTTTAGTATCCAAGGACGGATTTGTTTACCAGGGTATGTTAAAGTGCCTATGACACCAACGGTATTTTAACTTAAATAAAATCTACAAGTCTTAAAAAGCAATAAGAAAAAATTTCATCCGCAAATAATAAAAATTGAAGAGTTTATAGCTTTCTAAATTTGACAATTTTCTTTGTAAAAAGTGGTATCATATCGCGCGGCCAAAACAGGCCTCGTGATGTCATCTTGTGTACCACAGCATGCTGGAATTCAAAGCATCATGGTGGAAAACACAACACAGAGAAAGAGAACGAAGGTAAAATGACGAAGACATTATGAGTAGTTTTCTCTGGTCGTAACTATGCTGCCACGAGTGGTTTCAAAACTCCTGGGTACACAAGATGACGTCATACCGAGAAAGAAACTCGATCCCAGTCTCCGACCACTATTTGATCGAAAAAAGGCCAACTTTGAGCTATAATAGAGATAGTATATTTTTATTTGGAGTGAAAATCGTGTTGATGTCATATGCACTTTAAGAGACAGCAAAGAGAATTATATATACCAGCCGAAATACCTAAATATGTTTAGATATCAATATATTTGGGATTGCAGAATATCTCATGGGCAGCAATAGAATAGAATTGGGCTTCGTACCATAAACATCAATTACCCGAGAAGATATTCCTAAGGGGGTGCAAGACAAACGTATCTGACTTGGTAAGGGCTTGATCAATTAAGCAATAAGAAACAGTTCTCTAATACTCAGAAGTGATTACAGAACTGAGGGGACCTAATTAGGATTTTTCAAAGGAGAGGGGGGGCGGGATGGTAGCTAGGAATTTCTGTGCTCCTTACGTGACGTGAAACGAGTATAATCGTGGTAAGAGGGTCCGTTATTTTCTCTGATAAAATTTGTTTTGTATCTTTGTCTTAATGTTAGCTTGAAAACCTCAACTCTAGTTTGAAAGATGTGAAGGCTGCAGTAGATGGAACAAACAACGAGTTTGACAATTTTCTTTGTAAAAAGTGGTATCAAATCGCGCGGCCAAAACAGGCCTCGTGACGTCATCTTGTGTACCACAGCTTGCTGGAATTCAAAGCATAATGGCGGAAAACACAACACAGAGTAAGAGAACGAAGGTAAAAGGAGGAAGACATTGTGAGTTGTTTTCTATGGTCGTAACTATGCTGCAATGAGTGGCTTCAAAACTCCTGGGTACACAAGATGACGTCATACCAACAAAGAAACTCGATCCCAGTCTCCGACCACTATTTGATCGAAAAAAGGCTAAGTTTCAGCTAAAATTTTAGGAATAAAAATATTTTAGACAGACTTTGTTTTCGGTAGATGTATAATAGAGATACTATATTTTTATTTAGAGCGAAAATCGTGTTGATGTCATAGGCACTTTAAGAGACAGCAAAGAGAATTATATATACCAGCCGAAACACCTAAATATGTTTAGACATCAATATATTTGGGATTGCAGAATATCTCATGGACAGCAATAGATAGAATTGGGCTACGTACCATAAATATCAATCACCCGAGAAGATATTCTTAAGGGGGAACAAGACAAACGTATCTGACTTGGTAAGGGGCTTGATCAATTAACCAATAAGAAACAGCTCTCTAATACTCTGAAGTGATTACAGAACTGAGGGGACCTAATTAGGATTTTTCAAAGGAGAGGGAGGGCGGGATAGTAGCTAGGAATTTCTGTGCTCCTTACGAGAGGTGAAAAGAGTATAATCGTGGTAAGAGGGTCCGTTATTTTCTCTCATAAAATTTGTTTTGTATCTTTGTCTTAATGTTAGCTTGAAAACCTCAACTCTAATTTGAAAGATGTGAAGGCTGCAGTAGATGGAACAAAGAACTATTTTGCCGATTTCAGTGCTACTGTAGCAACTGAGATAAAGATCTCACTGTCATCTTAACAATGAATATTGTATTACTTTAATAAAGACCTCACCCTAGACATTACCCTCTTGGCTCATTAAAGGACTCTGGGCTTCTCACATTGATCAACCTCGTTCCCAGGGCCTTTTCCCGCCTCACCCCCAACTCCACCCCCAACAAAAGGAAAAAGCCCTGGGAACGAAGTTGCACATTGATCTCATAATTCATCAGACTGGTCCTGACTAACCTTGGCAATTTATCAAATGTATTTTTCAAATCTTAACTCAATCTGCGAATTGCGAAAATCTAAAAGAAAAAAAAAGAAATTTTCGCAGGAGTGCGTCAGCATATGTGAGGGTGAAATAATAAAAAAAAAAGTGCGTTTCATGACTCTTCTTGCACTGTGTCCAATTTAATCGTGAGAGTGAACCCGACCTAGGCTCGATCACCAGCTGCTGTTCGGGAACTGGAGCCCGCGCTTCTTCCTGAACCCCGTTCTTCTCGCGGAGGAACGAGAAAGACCGGACCCGAAAGAGTGGCGAAAATCAAACTTAAACCCGACCTTAACCCTTCAAAACAAGATTCGTAGCAAACGTCCGTTATTTTCTCTGATGAAATTTGTTCTTTATCTTAATGAAGCTTGAAAATCTCAACTCTGATTTGAAAGATGTGAAGGCTGCAGTGGATGGAACAAAGAACGACCTCACCAAATTGAGTAGGACTCTAACAAAGGTAAACATTTCATCTTAGCTTGATTAATAAATTGTAGAAACTTGATTTGATGATGATAATTTTTCTATGTTCAAGGGTCAGAGATATTAAGTTAATAATTTTGTTTTTGTATTTTTATCTTCATGTTCGGTTGAAAACCTCAACTCTGATTTGATCGATGTGAAGGCTGCAGTAGATGGAAAAAAAAAAACCACCTTCCGAGCTGAAGAGTACTTTAGTAACGGTAAAGATCTCATGTATATCAATACAATGTATACTGTATGTACTTTAATAAAGACTTCGCTCCAGACTTTTCTCCATGTTCAAGATATTAGCCTCTTGGCTCATTAAAAGACTCATCTCGTCTTTAAATCACTAGAATAGTCAATCCTGTCTAAACTCAGAAATTTTAACAGGTTTATTTTTATCTATTTTTTATTAGCAATATTTATTCGGGCTGGCCCAGTTCGTCATTCGTCCCTGACCTTGATGAACCACTAGTTTATCCAGAGGTAAGATACATACTCACTAATCTTGTCTTTTCCTGCTAAGGAGACCGGCGACAAGCAATTGGCAATAAAGGGCTGATGGGCCTCTAACACTGTTATTCTCATCTTCAAAGTCAGTCAAGTTTCATCATCTTGAAACGTATGATTGTGCGTAGGGCGAGTTTCGGCGATACTTAGTGTATTATTATGGTGTAAATTTGATCGAATTAATAATACCTGCATGGACGATATTCTGTTAACAGAAACGAGATAAGCCGTCCGCTCATATTGGGTCCCTCCACATACATAAGAAGATCTATCAAGCACACACGCGTATTTTTTGTCTTATACAGACAGTTGGTAAGTATTATAGCACCTGAACATCTAGAAGGAAGTTTAAAATATCCGTTTTACTTCTTGAAATGTTGTGGATTATCCTCCTTACAGTAAAAAGGCAAATTTTTCCCAAATACTGAATAGATCTCCGCCGGCTGTTTGCGCTGAACGGAAAAAGACTTTACGCCCCTGAAATTGAAACAGTTCGTCGCTGAAGACACAGTAAGAGCAGACAAAGCAGACATTCATACAATTTCAGCTTTGGAACTAGTGTTTTAAAAGTGCAAGATAGTTTGGAATTGTCAAGAAAAAAGAAATTGAAAAAAATCTAACCAATTTCTTTTGAGCATCCACATCCGTAACCAATTTTCCCGAACAATATCAGCAGCCCCATTACGAGGAGGAAAGTTTACCAGAGTCTCTCTAGTAAGGACGAAGGTT